ACTTAACTAGAAGCCTCGCTGGGGGTCACGATCTCGCTTTCGATCCATTCCTTAATTCACGTGAGATTTAACATGCGATAAGCGCTTTGGAAAATAACCCTAAGATTAATGCAGCCATAAAACTTATTAATATAGGGCGTCAGTTGTTTAGTAACAATTTTGCTTTGTACATTAAGTTTTCCCAGAATGCTTGAGAATTTAACCCCGTGTGACTAAAATCAATGAATTCAAGTGAGATGTTTCAAATAGCCAGTCAAAAAGTTACCGTGCTTTGAGTAGATTTTTAGTAAATAATTTCAACACTAATTGCTTGAACTCAGAACTCGGCGGCATTCTGGAGCTTTAACATATTAAAATTGATCTATCAGGTGAAAAACTTACTTCTAGACTCTAGTCAATCAAACTCGTGTGTTTCAAGTATTACGTTTTCCTCTTGCCATGGCAACGTAACTAAATAGGCAGCTATGACTTCGCACTAAAAATGGCCGTCCACGACAAGATTCGAGCTTTCTTGGGCGCTTTCTCTATCACTGTGTTATGTCTTCTCCTCTTCTACCACAGCATTTTAAAAGGTAGGACTCTACGCAAAATTGTCGCAATGTAGTCTTCGAACGAAAAACGTAAACGAGAAGCACAGCTATCGTGAAATTTCTCTATTCGACTAGATATCGTATTTAAGAGGCCCTGCGCCTAAGAAACGACCGATGATTTCCGGCTAAAAAACAAAATCGGCCGATTTCTATCTACCAAAAATCAGGCCGAAAATAAGCCCCCCGCAAAAAACTGTTCAGAAATTACTATCGCAACGCAAAATAATGAGAAAACTACACAGTGTTGAAGAAACCTCTACTTTGGAGATAAAAATCGGCCGATTTTATTTTTTAGCCGGAAATCATCGGTCGTTTCTTAGGCGCAGGGCCTCTTAATTGCCGGGTTGTTCGTTTCAAGAGTATATCAGCATTCATCCATGTGGAAGATTTTAATGGAGTTTTGACTTTTCTTTTAAGTATTACCGTTTCTTTCGGTCATCCTGTTTCAATACAATTGTGCGATGCAGCAAGTGCAATCTGTTCTTTACAAGAATCAGTCCTGATCACAGATTGTTTTTAATCACGGAATTTTCTGATAACCGAACTGCTCTTGAGAGCTCAGTTTAATGAGGCGAAAATTAATCTGTGGTCTACTATAGAGCATGCCATAGCTTATACAAGACATAAGAAGGTCTTACTTTGAAGCGTTACCGACCTTAGACGAGCGTTGACATTTCAAGGTACAGCTCTCTGACTGCAATAATTGAGGGTGAAATTTTAGCCCTTTGATGATTAAATTTAGAGAGAGGTGTCGCGGATGAAGAGGTTCAATTCTAAAAGCAAAGGAATGAATATATCAGATCATATCTATTCAAAAGTGCAAATTATGCCGCAGTAATCGATACTAAGGTGAATGTGTCGAGGACCGACGACCAAGACCTGTTAAAATATACAAAATCGTTACCAATGAACGCAAACCATACGCTGGAGTTTCGAGACAAAATTCGTTTCTCTCCAAGGAAGGTCTTTTTAAGCCTCAGGGCGAACTACATAGCGATATATGCGTTAAGTCACGGAAAGGCATATGTGCAAATCCACGAGAACGGTTGCTAAGGAATACATGTTTTGCAATGACGCATTCTCGAGCTCTGCTTGAATCCTACGGTCTTGTACTGCTCAAGACTAGCTTTCTTTTTTGTGCGACTAGAAATATACAGTAAAAAGATCAGCCATTGACGTAGAAAGTTCAGTGAGTAATTTTCGAAACAGCTCCCAGTCTTGTTTCATCACACAGCAGGGGACGTTAAAAAACCCACACACTCGTCGTAAAGAGCAGGGCACGAAGTTCCCTGTGTTGTGGTCTGGTCTTTGCCCATTGTGCTGTTGAAATGCTCGGAGACATTAGCTGTTAAAGCTACTCTACAATCCGAGGGTAAGTTAAGTATACTATTACTACTACATATGAGTTGTATTTTCTTTTGATTTGGCAGGATCAAGGCCAACAGTCAAAGCAGTTTGGAATGCAAATAAGACTTTGGTTGAAACGAAAGAACTGCTACAGGTAATAAAGCATTTTCCGTGAGTCATCTGGGACATTGATATTACTGCTTAGTAGTCAAACTTGCCTTGAAAAAAGGTAAATCAAAGTAGCTGAATAGTGTGATTCAGAAACATACAAATGCAGTCTAGACAACGAGGGGTAGCTGTTTGGAAACATGATTTAAAATATTCATCGCAAACAATTAAGAGTGTCTGCCTGTAAAAATCAGACAAATTCTCAGTTTCGCGGCAAGGGTCGAAATTCGATTTCGCTCATATTTTTATGGTAGTTAGGTTAGGGCATGACAAAAACTACTACATAGTTTGTTTTTTGGCAAAATATCCTTTTATTTCACAGAAATATGCAAATTACCAAATTCCGTTAAAATCGTCATTTGACGCACCATTCTATTAAACAAGTTTGAGAGCCTCACATGCAAAACCACATCATTCTTCCGTCTTTAAAGCACTCAAATATTTTTGTGCAATGTTTAAATGTGAACTGGGTTGATTTTAGGGAATGTTGCGTTGTCTTTTTGGTTCGAAATAATTAAATTTCGAAGGCATGTATTTCATTCACTTAAAAGTACTTCGTGAATATAATTAATTTTCAC